GCCCGCCCAGTAGGATAATGTTGGCTGGTTCCCGCCTCAAGTGTCATGGCGTACCAAGCCACAAGAGGCCGGTAACTAGTAACGGTTCTGGCATTCTGATTGGTACATCACTTTCTCGTTGCTTGTTCCATTTCCCTTAGTTACCTGACGTCAGCGCTTACGCTCGTGGCCGTTCAGGGGTTTCCTTTTGCTTTCGAAAGTTGAGCGAATAAAAAGAATTGTTTCTTTTGTTATAAATTTGCACAGAACATATCAAATCTGTAAATCTAAGCAGGCAGTATGTATGAGCATGGCTTTATTGTAGCATTACAGACACGTTTACGCAAAACGGAACTTGGAATGTTTTCAAATTACGTCACCCAGTCGCGTTCCTTCCGGCCGGAAAACCGGCCCAAATGGGACAATATGGCGATTACTAGTTACCTGCGTCCTACCTGCCATTCGCAAAGGACGCCGGGAACCAGCGAATAGGATAATGCTACACAAACAACATTGTGTAGCATTATCCTACCAGGCGGGCTAAACATTACAACCTCCAGAGCCTGGGAGATATGGCTTGCTACATATCAACCAAACGAGTTACAAATTGTCTAGTTTACTCTTTGTATTCTGAATAGACCATTTTCCGTCCACTGCGAGAATCACACGTTATGCGTTAAATCGAACGTAAAAACAGGACAAACAAAGGTCATAGCGGCGTCAAACATCGCGTGAGATTCGACAAACGCGAAAGTATTTTGGGAACATTTCCATGTCAATAATGTGCTGTACACATTTGATGATGGGCGATTTCGATTAAGTGAGGATATTCAAATGCAATATTCCTCCTTCGAAGATCGGCCGGTCGATGTGCGCTACGAAATAAAGAAATTCGAGTTCAAAATCAAATCGTTCAATTTTTGCGGCAGACGTTCGACGCGCGCCTTTCATGCATCTCGCGAGATCTCGCAGTTGTACGGAAAATCACCTATTGTGTTGGTTGTGTCAGAGACTTTTGCAAAATTTGGTGTTCACTATAATAGTGAAAATTCAAAGCAGCATAAAATTAAATGATTTACAGTGTATGAATCACTAAAATGTTACTTATTTTGGCCACAGATATTATCTGTTATTCATGTGCCCTACCAATGGAGCAATTGTATTAACCTATATATACATAAATATGCTGTATACATGACCATCAATATTATCTGAGAGTATGTGATTTTATGGGGAATTTTTGTTACTGTTCATTTTTTATTTCTTGATAAATTTCTCCTAGTGTGATGTTTACATCAGACAGATGCTAATCCAGGCATACATACACACATTTACATCCTTGTTATATGATTAATTAACTAATCATGCTACCTATAATGGATATATTTATTCATTCTGAAATTCATGACAACTCTATTGTTGTATCATGCACTTCTCTGGTGTCCTCCGACATTTAATTTTTTTTTTAACCAAATAATTATTATTTATATACCAAAACAGGAATGTCAATATTCTGAAGAACAGTGATAATAAAGTAGTCTATTCATATGGAACCCCCCTCCCCATTCCCAGAGGCCACACATCATACTTTCTGGAGAATCCTGATTAATGCTCACTTCTCAATTATAACCACCATCACTCCCAAATGATGTCATTGTAGTTCAGAAACAATTAAACAATGTCAAAATGTGTATATATGGCCAATTAACTGCTGTTACAACACACTGGCTTTTTGACTAATTTGTTCTCGGGTGGCACGGCCATTATCTGTATGATTCATCATCTATATATTGCACTACCAGGGCCATTTAGATACAAAGTCACAAGTCTTGGTTTAGAAACGATCGCTCTCGTTATATAATTTCAGAAACCCACTTTTAAAAGGCGGTACTTGAAGCAGGGCCAATGTTTAGGTTCAAACTCCAAGCTCAAGGGCAAACACCTTGTGCCTTAGTCTGCCAGAAATTTGACGTCAGCGGCCAGATTTTGTACAGTGTCGCGTTCGAAATGTAGCAATTTTCATCCACCTGCAATAACTTTAATATGTAAATGTGTATGAACAATTGAAACACATGGTTGTGAAACCAACATTGTTCAATATCTAAATGAGTGCACTCCCACATGTACATTATTCTATACATACCGGTATAAGGGAACAATACATTATGAAAGTACCAGGATGTGCGACATTTTGGGTCATGCAAAGTACAAACATGTGGATACCACATGTCTTCAGTATGTATGGGATTCAAATGCATAAATAAAGGTTGCAATTTTTTTTTGTCAGGAACTTTTTATTTTCTGTACATGAAAAATGTAAACATTTACAATAAACTCACAAAAAAACATTTTGCCATGAAAATAAGCTTTTGTACTCAATGACTCCTACATTTGATGCATATCGGTTATGACCGGTTGGTAACCAAGGTGATCAAGAAAACGAATTAAATCATCAAATGAAATCAACGAGGTTTCTTTGGAATCTAGCGGGTGAAAGTTTAATGAGTTGTTATAAGGTTGTAAATTTCTATCGATAATGACTTGTATGTCACGTCGGGTGTTATTTATCAAAGCGAAGGGGCTTACACTTCCAGGATTAATATGAAGTTGTGCGTACAGGTCATCAGCTGAAGCGAAAGAGAAGTTACGAGCGGCGTTGAGGTGACGTTTCAACCACTTCAAATCTACTTTGCAGTCTTCTTCACAGATTATGAGATAGAAAGTCCCTTTTCGATCTTTTAGAAAAAGGTTTTTACAGAAGACGCCGCACATACCATCCCGTTCACCAGCCTCATGATATGCAACAGTAGACAAGGTAATACCAAGGTTTTGCAAGGTGGCAAGGAGATAATCTCTCCCGCCGACCCCGCCTTTCCTGTCTGTCGCCATTCTGATGGTTGCCTTGACAACACCAGTCCAATAGGGTCAGGTGACCCTTTAATGTCATGTTTATTTCCATGATCACAGCCGTTGTCAAGCAGATTTTCCTGGTCAGTGTCCAGTTAAAATATACCCGTAATAAAGTTATGTAAAACTCTGTTTGGGAAAAAAAAGAAAGATGCAAAGTAAAATTGTGAATCATAAAAATCCCTCTCATATAACATTACATTTATGACTAGACCAAGTAGCAACAATAAAGTTTTTATTCGTTCAATGCCATGCCATAACTTTTCTCACAAACACTATGGTGCAACATTTTCCCTATTTGTATGCATTTCTGTGAAAAAATATTGAGAAATTTTAAAGCAAATGGGCATTACAAACTTGAAAATGTCATGAAATCATATGTTTTGTATCTATTTGCAATCACAGTATTAATTTTAGTAACAGCCTGTGGTTGTTATAGCATTAGCTGTGATAAATTTATTTGAATAACCACTGATTCCAGCCACTGATTCTGATACGAGTTTATGAAAAATATTTTTCGTATTTTATCAGATTGAAGGCAAAATTAACAACTGATTTTGATTGGCCTACAGTTCAGAACAGTCTTCCATCTGAAACAAAACATGTTTTATTTGTCTTGACAACTGTCGTCGTGGTGATATCAATCAGTTATCAGCTGCCGACATTGCCACAGATCCACCTAAATAGAGATGAACTATAACATTTGTTTTGAAGTACTTCCCTATCTACACAGTTGTAGTTGCTAGGCAATATCGGAATGTTTTATGTCAGCAACCTGTATTTTTATCTTTACTATCAGCGGTGATATATAAATAACAGTCTAGGTGTTGTCTAAGACAAGTTACCCAATGGAAAACTTGGAGAGGGGTTAGAAGACTGTAAAAACAATATTATTGTTGTTATTTTCTTGTTCCCACAAATTGTTTTGCTTATGCATAATAACTGTATTGAGTAAAAAAAGAAATGGAAAAAAAAAAAATCAGTGTTCTTCATGAAAAAAATTTTAAGAAATAGACTTGCTATATGCATAAAACACAACAACCTGGTGATTAAGGTGGGGTGGTTTTGGTATACTCACTATCTGAGAATTTCCACAAAAAGACAAAACAGTTTTTACTGTGTTTTAACAAAGAAAAAAATTGAGCCAAAATATTTTAATAATTTTTTTTTATATGTAAAAACAGAAAACCAAAACATCTGAAAGGGATATACACAAAGCACATCTCTTCAAATACCACAAATGATAACCCCTAAAAGAAATGCGTCATGGCAACCATTTTGATTTCAACATTAGAAAAAAATAATCAACTATCAACGAACAAAATTGGACAATAGCAATACATTTTCTTTAAATCCAATTACAGTCGATGTGAAACTGATTGCATTTTACTGCCATTCACTGGGTGTTATTGTTGCAGCTGCAGTCACGTGACTGTGGTGGCAGCGATATTTTCTTTTCCAGGGTTTTAAAAATGGTACAATTGCGTGTTGTGAAACGCACTTTATTCGGCTAATTGCAGATGAAACAGGATTATTGTTACTCGAAATTACGATCTAGAATCATTCCCGACAAATACAGAAGCAAACACAAACAAGTTTAATTGGGCCAGGATTGTTTTCCCTTCGGGTGAGACAGCCAATATGAAGGTCTTAGATTTAAATATGATTATTATCGCAAGGACAACAACGAAAAGACTGGCTCATTTCGAATCGCTGACATCTTTTCAACCAATAAAGTGAATACATACCTTCAGTACTTTGTCATTTTTTTGAGTTTTTCCTTTTTCTTGATTTCTGTATTTCTGTATTTTGTCACGGTCGTACGAACGTCAAAATTGGGATCATATCTTTGGTTCTGCGCAACCTCCTTCTTCGATCTACCCTTTCCACTGGAATGGCTATGAAGCTCGTCGAAGTTGTAGAAATCGTACTCATCAAAATATGCATCCATGATTGTAATTTGAACGTTTAAACGCGTAAAAACGAGGCGGGCAGTTTGATACAAAAGCAGCAACAGCAATTCGTTTTCTGAAATGGCGATCTGTATGTTATGACTAGTTATTTATGCATGTCTTGACGTCACCGTGAAGCAATGTGATTGGCTAGCTGTCATATTAAATTTGCATATGGTAACGAAAATAGCCATGACGTTTGGGTGAAAGGCTAATGTCCGCTGTTGTCAACATATCTAAAAAAAAAAACACGAATTCATCGAAATAAACTAAATTTCGCAAAATATAAGTAGTACGCAGTAATTATCAGAATAAATGCGCCAAAGAACACATCAATGCAATACAGCGCAATTGAAAACAAAATAAATATTTGGGGGTCACAGTGGCTGTGATGATGCAACTTGTTAGTTCTGTTATTTCCTTCCTTTTGCGCGTTTCGTGTTCCAAATATCGATGACTGAAAAGGCGTTTCTGACATGACACACACATCAATGGAAATGGTGACATGTCTGACTATTGCGAAATTGGGCTCTTTTATTTATTGCAAAATTCTTGCGAAACAGTGACGGTAGAGTCGAGGAATGTATGCAAATCAAGCAGATCGACAACGTCGAATGTTGGAGTTTTGGTTCCGTTTAGTTGATTTAAAGCTTCTTTTTATTGCTATATGGAGTTAAATGTGCTGTATTTGGGTCAGGGCCAAACTGTTAGGTACACAGTCTGATATTTAGGGATGTGCCATTATTGTTAATGGGTATATTTACTAAATTATAGCTTTTTGTTTTTTGAGTATTGCCTAGTCTAACTTCACGTAGATGGAACGTGTGTCGGGAATTATGATCATAATAATAAGGGACGAGCCATTAGAAACTCGGGGATGTCAGAAAAACAATGTATAATAATAACAATAATCTTTGTTGACTCGCGCCCTCAGCGCTCATTAGGATCTTGATAAAGAAGACAAGAATAACAAAACAAAACACACACGCTTGGATTACAAAACAAATATGGAAAATTAAAATGACCTACAATTTGAATATTACCCTAATTCTGTCACCGCCAATTACT